AGTAAACACAATATCTAGATCTGAAAATAGAGGCCTATTTTGCAAGCTCCTCATTAGCTGACTGGGAGTTTATGCAGCAAGGATTCTAAGTGCTTGGTTTTGTGATGCTCTATCACTATGTGTGGCCGTATATTTAATTTTGTCAGGGGTGTATGGAAAACTTTGCACAGCAGATGCCTTTTACCTTCATGATGTTTGGGAAGTGGGTGGTTTGCCTGGAAGTACAATTCTTTCTTTAAAATTTTCTGCTGATCTTCAGTTTCTCCATGGTTTCCTGTTCTACAACTATTTAAACACCTCTAAAAAAACTGTGCTAGCTTTAAGTGGTCTTTAGTGGTCTTAAACATCCTCTGTGGTGCAAGGAGGCTTTGCTATTTGAATTGAAATATTTTTAATACCCAATAAATATGTTTTAATATGTAACTGAGATTAAAGAGGGCTTTAGCTGTGGACTGCTGATTAAACTGACACGTTCTAGAATTTCTGTGCATCACCACTCAACTGTACAGCTCCAAGCACAAGGCAGCTGCTTGGAAAGAGTGGGTGTTTCGTGAAACTCCAGTGATCCTACTCAAACTCAATGGCCTAGTCTCTGGTGATCCACAAGCACCTATGGAAGTAAGTCACTGGTGCCCCTAGGTTTAACCGTGTTGCCCTGAGGGCTTGAACTTGAGCCTGTCACATGCATGCAGTGCACAGAACGTCTTTCCTTCAAAGACTGGCAGCTCAGGCTGTGTTCTATAATGGGACTGTCAGCCCCATAATAAGCATCGTCGCACCAGGGTTTTGGGCAAGGAGATCCATTGTGTGAGCACAATGTCTGCTTGAGGTAAAATGTTCTCAGTGCAATGGCTGTCAGAAGAATAACTGTTATCTCTCAGATTCTGGCAAGGTCAGTTTTTAGGTTTTCAGGTCCACAATGGTATCTTGCTAAGCACAGACTGTCTGCAGCACGTGCAATTCTTTCAACCAGCCCTCTCTGAAGATGGCCTATTGCTCTTCACACACGTAGGATAAATCTACACCCTCATTCCTGCACAATGGCTTTCACAGATTCTTCGGGGTTTCATCCAGGCCCTCTTCCTTTACCAGGGCACAAATCTTCTGTGTGATCCCCTACAAAAAGAGCCTGAGCAGAGGAAGGCAGCATGGACTGTGAGCGTGCTGGGGTCAGTTAGTATTCTCTTCCCTTTGTGTGAGTATTTCTTTTTGGTTATCAAGTCTTCCAAAATATTAATATGAACTAATCCTTTAATCTTTGACATTTCTTTTAAAACTGAATACAATCTGTTATCCCTAATTACATCATTTAAGAATGTAATCAAGAAAGCTAATTAAGAAAGCTAGATAGAGTACTACAGTATATATTTTTCACCTGACGTATTTTTACTGCGGCAAGTCTCAATGTATTGAAAAAGGCATTTTATGTATCACTACAAAATAATTGTGGTAGAACAAGTGCTGAGCAACTCCTCTGTATGTTGCTGGGAATGTCACTGCCTGTGATTTAAAGCTCTAAAAGAACTGTACAGTGTTTTGCTGAGCAGCTCAGCAGCAATGGTTAAAATTCCCTTCAACTGCACTATCACTTTCCTTTTTAAAAGTCAAAGTAGGTCAGTGAAGGTGACTAAAAGTTCTTTCTTCCACTTGCCTTCATTAAGTTTTGCTTAAAAAAGAAGAGAGGCGGGACTGAGGCATGCAGCAATTGCTTCAATAACCTTGCAGGAAACTGCCAGAAAGTTTCCCAAGACTCTCATGCAATTGAACCTGGTGAAAGGAACCTACTCCCCTACTCCTGCCCATAGCCCTCCTTAATAAAGTTGCTGGAGGTTAGGGGTTTTTTTCTGAACACTTAATTGCATAGATATCCCAGCAAACTGGTGCCAGCCTGAGAGAATTGGAGCTGACATTGCTAGTGGGGAAGGGGAAAAGCTGAGCTGAAGGGAGGACGCTCAGGGGTGTGCAGGAGAGTGGGGACCAGCAGTCTCTGGTTTCCACTGCTGGCCAGCATACAGAAGTCACCAGTTATGATTGGGTTACAGCTCATGACTATTTAGACTTGGACATGGACTTGAAGCCACTTCATGTCAGTACAAAGGGAGGAATGTAACACTGTCTCTCCAGTGCCAGGGGGGAGAGATTTGTAGGTTGGTATGTGACCTTCACTGCTGGCCCATGCAGGTGCTGTTCAAAGGCTCTCCCCATTCAGCTCTTGATACTGATACTAGATTAAAAAGAGAGAATGAAAAAAGTCCTTGTTAAAAACGTTCCTGTCTGTTTTTTCCCTTTATCTCTGTGAACAAGTTGTCTTTTGATTTGCTTGGGTTTGTGGGTTTAGGAGGCTGTTTTCCTTTCAAGGACTTACTCTTGTACTATGTATTTTTTCATTTAGTGAATAACATTTTACTCAGTGAAAGAAGATTTGTCTTGAGGCAATTCTTGGGTATTTTAAAAAAAGTTTTTAGTTTGTACCCATGCTGTTTTGTCACACCAGCTTTTTACACTTTGAACTGTAACTCCTTAATTTATACCTGTATTTCAGTGAGTGTGTTAAAAAGAGTCAAACCAAAAAAAAGAGAATCCTGCAAAGCCATAAATTCACATCAGCAGGGCAATTAAAACAATAGCTAATAATAATCTTACTGGCTGCTGATCAGGGAAGGGACCAGCGTCCTCTCTGGTCTCTGGCACCATTTTCTGAGCATCAGTTGTGTTCCCGAACAGCCCACTATTCTGTGCATTCAGGTAATTCACCGTATTTAAGATGTCTTCAGAGATGACGTGTTTGAAAACTGTTTAGTGAATGTGCCACACCATCTTGTAGAGGGAAGTGGAACAGATCAGCCTTCCTCACCCTGCAAAGCAGACGGCATCTATCAGCGAAGACTTGGCTTGTTCCAGATATTCAGGACTAACTTTTGTACTAGAGAGATCTCAGGGTTTCTGAGGAGCTGAAGAGTGCAACAGAGCAAAGTTTATGTCCTGTGTTAGTAAGTGCTTAGGTCAAATTTCTTCTCAGGTCCTCTTCGGAGGGCTGCAAAAGTATGATGCCGTCTTTTAAAGATGGTTCTTTTCCTGTATGCATGCTAAAAGGACCAAATGTGTAGAACTGAATTGCTCCCTCTGCTTCCAGATTCCCTCCCTGGAATGCTGCACAACAAAGCAAGCCGTAGCCCAGCCTTAGCAGCAATTTTTTCTTAACCCTCATAGGGTTTTCCTATTGAAGTGGTTGGTATAATTAAAAAGCAACTCAACTGTTGCTGAGTTTCTTTGTTTTATATTTACTGGAGAAAACCACTGGGCTGTTGATCTGTGAGTTTTATGTTATTATTTAATTACATTGAGGGAAGATCCTGCATTTTGGATAATTTATTTTGAGTGCTACATTTTCCAGGGCTTCATTTGGTTCTAGTATTAATCCCTTTCTTTCACAGAAGTTTGCATATTGTTTTGGATTATTTATACTTCACTGTCCTTCCAAATCCATTATTAATCACACAGGTATTGAAATACATTTCACAGATAATACTGGACATACTGCTGTATTGTTTGCTCACATAATAGTCATGCTTTCACTCGGCAGGTTTCTCATACATCAAATTATCATTAGATAAGAAAAAATGTTATGGTGAAGATTTGCCAACAACTTAATGCTGAACGCTCAAGCGAAACCCTGATGTTCCCAATTCCAGGTGATGACTCCTGGGGACAATAAATGAGCAGATGCACTAGTTAGATGAGAGCATATCACCTTCAGGGATGTGAACAGTGCGAGGTTCTGCTCAGTGGACCCAGAGAAAACCTCTTGTTCATTTTTTCTCCGGCAGCAGTCCAGATGACTAAACAAGAGAGATTTCTTTCATGGTTGCATTTTGGTTAGTATAAAAAGGGACCATATTTTAGTTTTGAGAGTGTCCTGCAGCTATCAGTGACTATAAGCCTAAGAACATAGGGCTGGAAAGGACCATCTGGGTCATGGTATCCAGTTTCTGAGTCACCCAGCCTCTAGCAATCCATGGGCTGCAGGCCATGCTTCCCCAGGCTCCATTGCATCATTGCAACCTCACAGCAAAACCCCAAAAACCTCAACTAAAAAGAAAGGAAAATCAAAGGAAAAAAAGCAAGAGTGATAGAGAGTTTTAGCAACAGTCTAGACCTTTGCAAGAGCCTAAAGTATTGTATAAAGCTCCCTGATGATCCCAGCAGGCAGCCCTAGCCTACTGCACAGAGGAAGACAAACTCCCCTGTCCCCGGCTTTCTTTGCAGGCTTTTCCACTGAACTCTTGAATAATAATGGTTTAACCCTGGGAGTTCGAACAAGTGTATCAGCCAAGCCCTGGGAGATCTTAACATTGCTGAGAGCTGCAGCATTTTCCACCTTTGTTTAGTCTCTGCTAAAACCGCCACACCAGGTGCTTTAGAGCCAGAGTTTTGCACACTGGAGACAGCTAACTATGAGCATGTTTCTCTGCAGAGTACAGAACAAGGCTGTTTGGGGAAAGGGATGCACCTACACTGTGCAACACAGAGGTTCAGGCTGAGTCCCTGAGACAGTTTTTCCACACTCGGTCTGGCAGAGATCTCAACATGGGTCTCTTGCTGTGGTATAGCATGGCACTTGGCCCAAAAGTTATTCTCAGCTGGCATTGCCTTAGGGAGCTTAAAACTGGGCATGAATACAATGCAGAGACTATGGAAAAGCACATAAAAATTGGAAATCTCAGTTCTGTTCCCACGTCACAAAAGAATCTTCAAATACCTTTCTTTTTCCATTTTCACATCTGTACTTAAGGGAGAGTAATAGTGCTTTGACATAAAAGCATTTTTCTGGTCCTTGAATAGACGGTTAGTGCGGACATTAAGATATAAATCTGTTAAAACTGAGGATTGGTTAAATAAGTAAAATATTATTACAGAAACTCTCTTAGGTGTTCAAAATTACCTTTCTTCTTAAATTAACACAAGTGAAAAAGGAGTAATTGCTTTCTGTCTGCCCGCAGAGTCAGGCACACATGAAGTCCTCTGGATTTGTCAGACAGAGTGGAGGACATCCGCTGTCATCCTCACCAGTTCCTGCAGCATCTGGCTCTTTTCAGCACAGTAAAAGGTTGGTTTCTGTAGACAAATAGCAACAGTAATAATATCTACATCACTCAAATGGAATCTCTTCTCTGTAATTCAGAGGAGTAGCAACACAGGTTTACAGAATTTCCTTCCAGTGATCTCAAAGGACTCTGCAAGTGGAAAGAAAAAAAACTCAAAAAAACCCACCCAGTCACTGGGTCCCAGTGTGACTATTTTGCAGGTGGCAAAGACATGTCACAAGCAAGAAGTGACTCATCAGATACACACATGAGAGCTGGGGCACAGCAAAGAGCAAATGAAATTGACTCTGTTGCCTGCCTGTGCTAAAAGCCAATCTTACAAAAATGGATAAATGCATTAAATAGAAGTGGGAATTTGTTTCTTTTGCCATTTGAATTTCATTTTAAGTCATGTGTAAATGATTCTGCATCCTTCTCTCTAGTGTAATAGTGGCTTTAATTTGGCTTAGCCTTTGGGAAGGATGTTTGATTGACTGAATTAGAGAAGGAAGCTCAGTCCACAAGCAACTCTCAAAACCATTTTAAAGATTGGCTTAAGTTCAGCCCATTTTGGGGACTCATGAAATCTCTTTATATGGTGATATTTATCATTTATGTGCAATGACCCTAATCTTTACAATTTATATAATTACAGTATATTAGTGTGGTTGCTGTAGATTCATTTTTTCTGCAGAAAAGCACCACTGTGCATCCCAATATACAGAATTACAGCTGGGCCAGGGCAGCATCCTCTAACTTGTCACTCTTCTAGGTCAGAAATGGCCTTGAAACCAGCAACTTCAACTTGCTTTTCTGAGTTTCTTGGTCATAATTTTTCCTCCCAGAACTGTGGATGAACTTTCCTTGTTTTACTTGCTAGTTCAAAAGCCTCTACACTGCCTGCTTTTAGACTCTTATTTCTGGGCCCAAAATAATGGGATAGCACAGAGGAAGCATGGGGGATTGCTTGGCATGGAACAATGTCTTTGATGCATCTAGATGGAGAGCTCTTTGGGGACCGTCTTCCTAATTTGTCTGTTGAGTGCCCAGCTCACTGGGCACTTGCTCTGGGACAAGAGATCTTGCCAAAAGGCAATTGGGTGCAATGCAAGACAACTTTAGAGTAAGAGAGCTCAAGAGTTTTCTTGTCCTGTAAGAAAGGAAAAGGCTATCAAAAGGAAATGAAAGTTTTATTTAGAGGGAGAGGGTTATTGGATTTTTATTTTTTCTTTTAAACATCACTATCATGACCCCTTCCATGTTCATGTGTCATTACTTCTGTGAAAATCTGAACTATCTCCTCTGTATTCTGGTTTGCAACATCAAAAGGACCATAGAACAGTCTCCTTTGATGTTAAATTTTTCTGCTGATGCTGTCTGTGGTCAGGTAATACGACATGATTAATCTGAAAAGATTCAATTTGCTTATTTTCCCATGTTCACTAGCAAAGCAAAGATGCGGTGTATCAGTGGGATATGAGATACAGTCAATCAAGAAACTCCTCAGTATTAGAAACCAGATTTTTAGCTTCCCAAAAGCAACCCCAATGAATATTCTTTGTTTTTCATTTTTCTTTTGTGTGTCTTTGCATAATTGTTTAATATTAAAGAAAGAGAGCGTGGTTTGGTTGTTTAGTTAGTAAAATCAGGCTTTGAGACTACCAGGTCTGGGAAGAACTGGCTCCTCTTGCTCCACCTGGCTCAGCTATTGGCCAGACCAAGAAAGTCACTTTCCCTTTTTATAAAACAGGGATAATGGTTCCTCCATTGTAAAGATGTGAGATATACTGCTGAAAAGCAGTACACGAGAGTTAGGTAATATTATTTCTGGCTCTCCTACAAATGTGCTTAGTGTTCAGTTTTCCCATCTGTAATGTGGGGATGTTAGAACTAATCTACCTCCCAGGGTTGTTTTGCTTAATTCCATAAAGTACTTGAAAACCTCACATGGAAAGAGTTATAGGAGCACAAGGTTTCTTAATAAAGCTCATTCATGAGTAATGTATTTTTGAAGTAAGTGACTTGAACCTTCACCCATAGTTGGAAACCAACGTGAGCCAAGTCTTCTTTGTTGTTCAGCAAAGGTTGGTTGATTTTTTTTTCCTTACATATTTAATTCTCATAAGGCTTCACATCTCTGGTTTCTGGCTATGATTGAAAGCAGAAATTCCAAATACCACAAGAGAAGACTGGGGTTTTTTACTTTTTTTTCCTGACCCTCCCAGAAGCTGGAAGTTTTGAAACGTAAGTCTTCCCCACTATCCCCAGCTCTCAGTTCCCCCCTGCACAGATAGGTGTCTGAATCTGTTTTCTCTGAAAACTGAGACTTACCCAGATGCAGCCTGTACCCTGCACCCTTTGAGACCTGCTCAGCCACCTTGAACGTGATGTGCAAGTGACTCTGAGGTGTATCAGGGCTGCTCTATTCAGACAACCACCAGGTGCTTTATCAGAATTGATCTGCCCTGCCTTTAGCTATACAAGACCACATTCAGTCTCATCTTTTGCATTGTTATTGTTGTGGGTTACTGCACAGAGCATGGTAAGGCTCTTTAGAAGCACTGCAAAATGCTGAGGCTGAAATGGTCTTAACGTCTAAGGGCTGTAAGAGAAAATTAGCCAAAACTCATTTATCTCTATGTCAAAATTCCTGCTAACTGGGGAGGAAGCAAAGTTGGACCAAGCTGGAGGCTTTCAGGGAGCCTGGCTATCACACCGTGGGATGCATTACAAACCCGGATTTGCAGGATCTCTGCTTGCAAATAATCCACACTCAGAGTGCTCTGAACGTATCATTTGATGTGTGTAAAAGAGAGATGGTGCCAGGAGCACAGAAGCTAGCTTGGAGCTTGGGGAAGTTTTCAATCGGTTTTGCCAGGGTTTCCCTCGGTGGGAAGGCACGGACGGCTTTCTCCTGCCCCCTCCTGGTACAGCCCTCAAATTTGGCTCTGGAAGCAGGAGGCTGGAAAAATGGCACCTTCATTTTCCAGGGGATTTGCACTTGGAGTATATGGCAAAGTTGGTCTGTTTTCATGGCACGAAAAGGAGTTGTTATAATTTTTTAATTTTTATTTTTTCTTCTTGGCATTGTAAATCCAGTTGAGCTCTATGAAACTAAACTGAAGCTCGGTCTGATCAATGCACTTGCAGTCGAGTATTTCAAGTGTGTGATCTAATGCTCTTCATCATGGGAATCCACTGTCTTAGGAAATATTTATTTTTAAGCTGGTGTGATACTTAGCCAACCGAAGAATAATGTATTTCAAATAATTTAAAGAACGTAGATAAGAATTATGTAGTCCTCAATCAAATGTAGGTACTCCATTCTAGAGGGTAGCTGGAAAAACAAAATTTCACCTCAAGAGTAAAACTTGGCAGTTTGTAAAATGCTCCCACTGTGCACTTGAACAAAAGACATCTGCTGGGCACTGCACTCTGTGGAGGGACAGGGCTGTTCAACAGTGCTCAGACTCCTGGGGCATCACTGGGTGGACAGACCAATGCAATCTTAAGTTTTGCAATGTTTGCCCACACAAACAGTAACTCAATGTCTAATAAATCAAAATAGCTGCTATATGGAATCGCTTCAGGCTTAAACCCTTTACCCTTTTGGGTTGAGCACAGTTTGAGTACAACTGAACACAAGCTAAACTGGAGCTGCCTAAAGGTGGGCACTCTAAATCTGGGCTACAAGTCTCTCTTCATATCTGCATTAAGTTATTCCACTTTGTAAAATGATTATCATTCACCAGAACAGAAAAAGGTAGTACAAGGATTTTCAGGCCTTTTGGTTACCATATTTGCTTGAAATAAATCTAAAATCTTTCTGTCTGTAGACTCAAAACTGCATTTTGCATTTTGCTCTTGGTGTAGTTTCTCTAGACACCAACATGTTTCTGAAAAAAAAATATTTTCACAAACTGAGAGTTTTTTAATCACAGAAAAAGAAGTGTTTCTGACTGTTTTGTTAAATATCTGTTCCTTATCATGCCCAAGATATGCTTATTGCAGAGGTCATCTTCTCCATTTTCTAATAATTTTTTAACCTTTTTTTTTTAATAAGTAAGTTTCAGCCAGCTGTGGTTGTGCTGCACTTTCAGAGGCTGTTTTTATTTCATAGGAAGGTGTTGAACTTTCCATCAAGTCTCATGTGGTTGTCCAAACTAGTGGGAGCACTTTTTCTGCACAGCTATATCCCAAGCTGAACTGAAGTAGGTGGTCACTAGGTATTATCTTTCTTCAGTTTATGTGTTTGAAAAGCACATCTTGCAGCACTAATTATATGGATTTCTCTCTTTGAAAAACATTACCTCTTTCTTCAATGTATTTTGGCTGAGAAATTTCCATATAAAGTCTTGCAACTTGGCTCCCTCTGGGTACCAGGCTTTCTGTCTGGTAGCTGAGAAAGGGGTGACACTTTGTGGTCCTCATGGCTGTTTGGCTGCAACATTAGAGGGAAGACAGAAAACAAAATCATTCCTGCTAAATGGACAGTATCACAGACAGGGAAAAAAGGCAGGACTTTCCAGTTTCTTTTAGTCATATCCAGCAGTCTTAAGGAGAAGGTCTAGCTGCACAAAGCTTACTCCACCTGAATGTTGTTTTTTGAGGAAATTTCCAGAGATTAACTCCTTTCAATAAGTTTCGAGGGACTTTTCCATTGCAAGGTGTATTCTGGCTGGATTTTGAAGGGCTGTGACTTTCTGATCTATTTTGATACTGTCTGGATCCAGCGGTGTAGCTCTTGAAGCTGAAATGCATAGAAAGGTCTGAACAAAGCCACAAAAATTTTGGGAGGGGATTCATTTGTTCACCACTCAAAAATTCTGTTATGAGTGGACTTTTGAAGAAAATTTTCCAATAAATTTATGTTTATATGCAACAGACCACAAAGACAAAACAATTTCAGATCAAACAAAACAGTTTAGTCAGACTGATGGACACATCTTTTTTTTTTTTTTCATAGTTCTTTCCATCAACAAACAGACATGAACTTCTCTTCAGGGTAGCATGAATGTTTTTT